ACTAAAGATCCCACAAGTTTCACAAGTTTCAACGTATGGCTGTTTGGCTTCACACGAGGACAACCCGCTCTGATACCATGATGAAAGTGAGGTTCCACCATAAAACCAATTGGTCATATGAGGAGTAGCCCAAGACCATATAAGCACATAACAAACCTTGTCCCTCACCAATATGAGACAACTCTCAACAAGGAATCCATAGCACTCTTCAGCCTTCGCACTAAAATTTGTTAAGCTTGCCAAACTTTTTTAAAATCGTAAATGCCTAATTTTCCAACGTCATGAAACTTGAAAACAATTGTATTATTGGGGTGATATGGAATTTTAAAAATTTATTAGCTTCTCCTTCAGATATATAATGTTGGATACATATGTATATTAGGCGAGACTCGTTACATATTGAACAATATGGACTTGTCATGACATGAGTGCTGATACAATAAAAGTGCAAAGCATTTTATGAAAAAACCTAGAAGAGATTAATTTTTTATTTTGTCAAACATAAATTTTATTGACACAAGAAGACAATACAAGAGATAAATATAAAAATAAGCTGAAAGCAGGCTAAGAGGACATAGAAGTCCAAGCAAAGCACATTATGACTGAATTAGACTCATTTTGTTGACGGAAGTTGTCACCGCCACAACTACCAAACACCTCACCATTCCATTGGTCAGGCCAGTTGATTCGGCATTGATGCCAACCAAAAACAAACGCCCCAAAAACAAAGATACAAAGCAGCCTCAAATGAAAAACAAACCAAATCACTAATTTCACAACATCAAAATCCACAAACAATACATAAAATTGCTCCGAAAACACTCAACCAACAAAACGAACAAATAACACTAGCAACCATGTCCACCACCAGAGGACCCACAAATGAAGAATTTTGATACTAACAAAGCAAGTAGACAAAACACCATCAGAACCGTAGAAAGAACAGGCATAGACCCAAACAACCAAAGTAGTTTTGCATACCTTCCTCTGACTGAACGACGACTCGCTCTCGAGGCGGGTAGCAAACATAGTGGTCAAATAAGGCTTCTCATTCGAAAGCAAGCATCTAACAGGAGTATTAAGGGTGGAAGTGGGAGGATAGAGGAGAAAATTGTGTGAGACACAAAGGATGGGAGGATGGAGGGGAACAGTTGTGTGAGGGTAACATTATTTGTGACTGATAACACATACATAGTGAAATTAATTTCCACAGCTCAGCAGGACCCGACCGGCTGGAGAAACATAAGAGAGCAACTCGCTATCACATTCAAATTTGGCCATGACTCTCTCCTCCAAGCTAACATATGCCTCTATTCCATCACCCTCCTTGGTGTCCATGAAAAGCACTAGGTTCTTGTAGGTCAGTGCCGGTGATCCCACCCACGCAGGTCTACCCCAACCAAAGTCGTTCTCATAGAGAGGAAACCTACAATAGCTACTGAAGCTAAGTACCGCAACCATTTCTCCTCTCTTGAAACTATCAGCAGCTTTCTTCATCAAACCCAAGTGCTCGTCACCCTGCCCTTGTAATTGCTTCAAGTACTCATTGTCAATCTTGCTTATCGCTTCTCGCACCTCCCCAATCACCACCCCATCACATTCTTCCTCCCCGCCATTACTGATTCGCAATGGTGATGTCATGGAAAAACGAAAAAGATTTCCAAAAGAATGTTGAGGCAATGGTGGACTAAACCGCGGACGTAGGTTCACTGCATGGATCACCATGTACAACTTATTCACGGTACAATCCTTTGTAGCGGCCACATATCGACTCCATATGAAAGCGGATAAGGTCTCAACACGCGTGGGGTGTTTTAGTTGGAGGTTTTTCATATCTTTTTCATATTTTGCTTGGAGGGTCTCTATTTTAGAGGCATTGAACACGAACCTATTTGTCACTCTATCTTTTGTGATTCCAACGCCTCCATCGAATCCAGTATTGAACTCCTTTGGTGGGAAGAGTGTGGCTGACACAAATTGTGGAGGGTCTATGTTGGCTTGTTCCCCACGGGCAATGGCTGCCCAAATTTTGCTGAACGTGAAATGGGACAACCCATCAGCAATCTTGTGAGAAATGCATTGGCCAATAGCAAACCCTCCACACTGAAATATGTTGAGCTGGACCCCAAAGGGTAATGGATTGGTAATATCATCAAGTTCAAATGGCATGAACTTGTTAAGTTCACCAGGGTTGGGGTTGCTGAGAACATCAGAGAGAGTGCAATTCAGCACTCGAGCTTCGACGTAGGGGATGCCCTCGTCATTGCAATGTATGAAGCGGTTGTCTTTGATTCGACCGGCTAGCGGGTAGAATAGCGATAGGGCCTCGGATAAGGAGTTCTTAAGGTGGTTGGATATTTCAATGATGTTGGGATGCATATTGGCATTGTATTCATAGAAGAGGAGCAAAGGGTTGTAGACATGGGGAGCCATTTGATCAAGAAAGGAGAATTGGTAATGGCGAAGGTGGCCAGGAGTTGGAGAAGATGGTTTGATAATCTCATTGGAGATCACTTCAACCTCAACCTTCATCATCTCGAATGTTTTATTTAGTAGCAAGAAGTTGGAGCTAATTAATGTTGATAACAAAACAGTAAGGGTATAAATAGCAGCTGGAGCCTGGAGTTATGCTTCTATAGTGCTCCTCTCAGGGAGACCTATATAGAGCTAAAATGTAATTGGCTCATGGATCTGATTATCTCCATGAAACCATCCATTGTTTTGTTTAACTTGAAGATTAATGAATTGCACGAATCACAATCCCACACTCGGCCGAACATGCATAACATTGGACACGTACGTTTGTTCATTTTCTTAAGCATCATTAAAACAATTAATTTAGCCTTTTCTTTTCTTGAATTGAGGATTAGGTTGAATGAGTTTTCCAGTGAGGTAATAAGGATAGGATTTTCCGGCGTAGACTATATATGTTGAAGCATTTCCATTTTTTTCTTTTTTGTCAATATTTGTTAGATTAAATATTAATTAAAAAATTGATGAGATTGAAATTTACGTCGTAATCCGAATGCAACAATCATATCCACTATTATTATTGAAGCACTACGTTTTAACGAAACAATATAATACCTGTATTTCTATCTTTGAGAGATTCTGAGAAGCAAGGGCAAGAGATTCTGAGAGGATTTAAAAAGAGAAAGGCTAGCAAGGCTCGATTTTTGAGGATTGATATGCTGTCCCTAATTATTTGTTTCATTTGTGTCTGTCTTTACTAATTTTACATGTGTCATTCCCCTTGATTTTAAAGTTAACATTGTTATTAATAATGCATAACTAAATAAAAATGTGTATTCAATTGAGAATTTTAAATATTTTAATAGATTTACAAATTTATGAATTTTTATAGAGTTTAACTGATTTGCAAATATTCTATGTAAAATTTTGATTCAATTCTTTCAGAATCTCATGGAAAGAGAAGAAATTTATGAATGTTTAAAATACACTACAAAATCTCTTTAATTCCCTCTAACTTTTTCAAAGTTAAATACTACTATTCAAAAGTCCTGTGTCATGTTCAATTTCGTAGATTTGCAATGGCAACGGACAACAATAATACATACATGTAGAAATTAAATCGATCTAGAAAGAGATATTGCAAGTCAGTGAAAAGATTGAGGAAGTTGGGGTGGCTAGAGTTGTAGATGCTACATGATGACACCAAGAGAGTTCTGGATATTGTAATCTTGTAATCATTTTGAAGTTGTAGTCAGGAGACTGTAATCTTGGAATCATTTTGAAGTTTGTAGTCAAGAGACTGTAATCTTGTAATCATTTTGATGTTGTAGTCGAGAAAGTTTGAAGTACTTGATGGAGCTTAGAACTTTCTTTCCTTCTTTGCCTTTACCACTCGAATAATAAAAAGAGTTTTAACGAAAAGATCACAGTATTATTCACTTCAATGAAAAATCATATTTTTATATTAAAAAATCAATCTTGATACTATTCACTTTACCCTTTATTTTGTCCTTATCGTTAAAACTCAAAGTTTTTAAGCTATTTTCATTAGTTTTCCTAATAAGTTATTGAGATCTATAGGTTCGTATGTTCTAGCTTTATCAGAGCACTCAATTATTCTAAATCACATTATTACTAATCTATTATAAGACTAAACTCACAATCTCTTCTTTAGTGTAGATAATATTATTTGTTTAAAAAAAAAAGTTATTGGACAACTAATTTAATCACATTATTATCTGCGTGCGAAAGACATTTTTTTAACTGACATTATACGTCTTTTAAGATGTTTTGAACGTTTTTAAAAATAGAGAAAATAGTATTTAATGGAATTACATTATTTCTAACCTATTGTAAGGTACTAATTTAAAAATAAAAAATAAATAAAATAAATAAACTGTACACAAAATTAATTTTAAAAAACACTGTTAAAATGATGAAAATACCTCAGCATTATATGATGTATTATATTAGGCTACTTTTGAAATTTTTTGTTTGAGGAACATTTTTGTCTAAATATTTTTGTTGAAACTTGTGACATCAAAAAACATTATTCATTTCATTGTTGACTTTATATACAGAATTTTTTTTTTTTATTGGGTAAACGAAGATTTTTTTTCATTTCTAGAAGCTGAGATGTGATTGATTTACTATGCAAACAATTCACGTGAAAAGAAACAAATCCTATATCGTATATTATTATATTTTTTTTAATTTCTAGAAGTCGAGATTTGATTTGAGTTTAATTATTTCTATATATTAAATTTTGTTCCAGCTGCAAGAAAATATTTGACAGTAGGGGAAAGTAGAAAATATTGTGAAACACCTGGAGGCCAAGAACACTCAATGATTAGCCATTTTATTAGGCTCTTTGCTGGTTTATTTTAACAGAGTACCTATGAGCAACCAGATATACTTCACATTATGAGAACATGCAATGACAGATATATATCAAAACTGTCAATGAATCAACGTTTATTGAGAAATATGCACATACAAAACCTCGGGACACTAAATAGACATCGAGCTGTATAATAAAACACGGGTTAGCTCTCTCCCGCTGTATTTTTTATTAAAAGTTTATAACTGGTTTTATTTGTACATACTTCCGGTGTTTATTTGAGCTCGTTAAGACTTGGAATCATAAAACAAGCGGGAGGTGGTTCGTTGGAGCTATGAAGGAGCCTAAAACATGAAGTAGTTCCGAGATAGTGGAACTGTGGTGGCTGGACTGCAGGTAAGAACCACGCCGTCTGCTGTTACCTTGTATTTTTCCGGATCAACCTCTATATTTGGTAGGGCGTCATTGAGCTTCATGTCGAGTTTGCAGAGTTTCCTAACGTTGCGCACGGCTTCCACTCTCTTGTCAAGGCGATACAAGTCTTTAACGCGGTTATCTACAGCTGCCTGTTTGCACAGTGAAATAAAGAGAAAATCAGTCTTGCTAATGAATCTCGCGTGAGAGAGAGAGAGAGAGAGAGATCCATGCCTGGCTGACAAAAGCAATGGAATGAGCACTACCAGCCTTGCCAAATGCACCAAACATAGGCCTTGAAATAACCTGCGAAGACATAAGGTTTTCTAGAGTAATCAGAACAAAAATCGCTAAAATTATTACACCCTAGAAAGAATATCTACTACCATCTCCAAATTCTTTTGGACCCTCCTCAACGTAATTCATCAATCACGTAAAAGAATTGTCATGACTAGAAAATGCATCCATGCATAAGAACTGTTTGCAAACTATAAACTTTACCGGTTCAGGGGTGGGGATGCTTGCATTTGGATCACCCATATTAGCCCATGCAATTGCCCCACCTTTGATCACCATTTCTGGTTTTGCGCCAAAGAATGATGGCTTCCATAGAACAAGATCAGCCAGCTTCCCCACCTGCATAACATGCAAAGCCCATGAGTAGAATGAGAATTCCGCTATTTTAATGACAATAAAAGTGTGTTTATGGAACCCAAGAAATGCGAGTAATTCCAAAAAGGTAAGTTTCATCCAGGAGAGTTACACATTCAAAAAGGTTGAAGCTCAAAGCATCAAGCTTAACTTCTATTCATTTGTTTCTCAAATGCTCTGCTCCAAATAAGAGAGGTTAAAAAAAGCTTGAAAGAATTATTTTGGTTGTCTATAAGAGTGGCATACCTCAATAGAACCAACATACTGAGAAAATCCATTAACTATTGCTGGATTTATAGTGTACTTTGCGATGTATCGTTTGATCCGGAAGTTGTCATTGTCGGATCCACTAGGTTCTATCGACCCTCTTTGTGATTTCATCTTGTCAGCTGTTTGCCAAGTTCTGATTATCACCTGACACGAAAAGTTTTGACAATAAGCCTTATACATGCCTCTGTGTAAAATAATTAGACAAAGACTCCTACTAACGCCAGAAACGGGGACTTTCAAGTGAAGGCATGAAAATCCACGGTTTGGTAAAAGGCGACAATGATAATGTTCTGTAATTCAATTTGAATAAGGACTTTTGTTTTCCTTTTTTGTTACTGTTTTGTTACAGTTTCAGTGAAGTCGATACAAACAGACATATGCGGGCATGTATCTCAATTTATAAAAGTTTTCTATGATCAGGAGGAACCAGAATGCATAAGGTGAAGGTAGTAAGAACCTCTCCGATGCGACCCATAGCCTGTGAATCAGAAGCTACAATGCTAATTGCCCCCATATCGTGCAAAATATCTTCTGCAGCAATTGTTTCAGCCCTTATTCTTGATTCAGCAAAAGCTACACATTCTGGAATGTCCTTGTCAAGGTGATGGCAAACCATCTGTACGTATTTGAAGTTTCAAAACAACATTCAGCCAAAAGACTCTAAATAACCTTAGCGCATGCTGTATCACTACTTCTGTTATCTTCTCATACCAGCATATCAAGATGCTCATCTATAGTATTTGAGGTGAAAGGCCGCGTGGGATTCGTTGATGATGGCAGGACATTTTTCACACCGCAGACTTTGATTATATCTGGAGAATGGCCCCCACCTGCACCTTCACTGCCAAGAGATAACAAGCACAAACTATGAGAACTAAAAAAGAAAAAACACAAATAAGAAGAAAACAAGAAACGAAATGTAACAACATGCAGGAAGTTACGCCAAGGATACTCATAATCATTTAAAATATGTGTACTTAGCAATATAATCGGTACTGACTAGTCATCAAGACTCAGAGCAAAAAATATAGGTACGATAATGCAAAATATTCAAGTATGCAGGAATGGTTAGATAAATGTCAAGATGTGACCAAACGGCCACGATCTCAAACTGTAGTCAGTGTGATGCCTTAGCTACCGAAAAATGTTTTGCCTCTACTCTGTGTACAAAGTACTGTGGTCATGGACTTGTAAAAGACTGAAGAAAAATTGCCAACTTATCAAATAGACCGAGAATGTGATTTATACCTGTGGTAAGTATGGATAGTTCTTCCTTTAAATGCAGCAATTGTATGCTCTACAAATCCAGATTCATTCAAGGTGTCTGTATGGATGTTAACCTATCAAGGTCAGAATTGGAAGTATTAGAAGATGTGAAACTCGTAAGATACCACCGAAAACAGCCTATAAGACCTAACATTAAATAAAGATTATAGTACAGCACCTGGATGTCATATTGATCTCCAACAGCCAAACAATTGTCAATTGCAGCAGGAGTGCTTCCCCAGTCCTCATGCAGCTTCAGTCCCATTGCCCCAGCCTTTAGAATATCATGCATCCCTTCAGGTTTGGCAGTGTTCCCCTAAAGTAAGCCAAGGATATTAAAGAAAAAGGAAGAAATATATAAAATGAAACAGCTTTAGACATCACTTCACATTTTGTAAAATGGTAGTTACAGGTTTATAGTTGAATGCAGGCATGGGGTAGGGAAGAAGGAAGAGATTTTTAAGTACACACAACAGTTTAAGCATACCTTCCCAGTAAATCCAAAATTTAGAGGCAGGTCGTCAGTTGCTTGCAGCATTAACTTCATGTGTAATGGGGCTGGTGTACAAGTTGTTGCACGAGTCCCAGTAGCAGGTCCTGTTCCACCTCCCACTAAGGTTGTGATACCTACACATTATGTAGAAGTTTCGGAAAATGGACCCCTTAAATGCTTGTTCATTGTCCGCAAAAGATTTAGAAAACACAAAGTTCATTCATGAGTATATATGAGCAGGAATAGAAGATGCAAAAATGAATTTCTTTAAAGGAAACCTAGGTGGTACAGGGGGAAAAAACAAATGCAAATTGAATCAACCAGGAAATAAAATATGCCATTCAGATGAAACATTATGCAACTGCACCAAACCTTGAGTTAATAGAGGAAAATCTTTACAAAAAAATTATGGTGTGTCAAATTTTTTTTTTTTTAAACGACTGGTTTAACATGCAACTTGCTGGTATAATGTTCTGCATCTAATACATAATTCATGTATTTGAGGCAACTAAACAAGATGACTAAGTATCTCTTAAGTTATGAATAATGTTTCACACCAAATACATGTACTTCACACTACGCATCAAAACGCGTCACTATATGCATCACAAGCACTTTCCGGCCTAATTATTCTCATAATATAGCTCACCACTCGATATTGCTTCATATGCTAATTGAGGGCATATGAAGTGCACGTGACAGTCTATTGCTCCTGCAGTCACAATCATTCCTTCCCCAGCAATGACCTCTGTGTTAACCTAAGAGATAAAGAAGGCGGCATAAGCACATTTTATCAACTTCCTAGAAATTTCTTTCCAGAACGACCTGCTGTAATGTGAGATGATATTTACCCCAATGGTCATATTTACACCATTCATAACATCTGGATTGCCTGACTTTCCAAGGGCAAAAATGTTACCATCTTTGATACCAATATCTGCCTTATATATCCCGCTATAATCAATGACCACAGCATTAGTTATAACCGTATCCAATGAATTAGTTGGGTGGTTCCCAGATGACTGGCCCATTCCTTCTCTTATAACTTTACCACCTCCAAATACCGATTCATCCCCATAAACAGTAAAATCCTCTTCAATTTCAGCAAACAAGTTGGTATCACCAAGCCGAACTTTATCACCAGTAGTAGGTCCATACAAGTTTGCATATGCCTCATGAGAAATTACAGTGGTGAAATCTCGATCGCTTCCTGCAACACCTTCCCTGCAAAATTAATACTGAGGTAAGGCATCTCCAATTTTTTCTTAATCATCTTAGTGAACTAGCTAACAATCATGCAACTTTATTGATCTAACAAAATAGAAGCAAAGAGGCAAATAAACATTTCTCTGGTAGAAAGCCTCAACCTAGCTCTTGGTTCTTCCTCATGTCCAAATTCTTTTGCTTGTATGGCTTCCATGACTTCCTGTAGTTTGCCATCATCTACTGAACCATCCCCAATGCAATTTCCTCCTCTGATTACTCTATTACCTCCAATACTTACAAGTGCGACATGTTTGCATTCCCCCGGCTGGCACAGCAAAACAAGCACCAATAACATACTTAGAATGCTAATAGTCGATTAAGAGGTAAAAAATTGGTACTATACCAGCATGCAAAATGACAAAGTAGGGCCTAATTAACAAAAATAAGTGGCTTCGTAGCACCATGACTTCTATCATAAAAGTAGCACCCAATTATAGATGTAAAAGATGATGAAGGATGATGTGACATCCTTGCTAGACTTTGATTAGAAAAATATTTGATAGGCAGAATATATTTTGTGATTGACATGAACTAAACAACTTTTCATTACATAACAATGATAACATTGAAAAATTATTTTAGACATTTAAAGAACCTCAAATCTCTTGGCTGTTCCAGCTGGTATATTCAAGCGCATGCCATATGATTTCATTCGATCAAAAACCAGGCTGGGGTTGACCTCAATGAAGTGATAGTGACTGCCAACCTGAAAAAGCAGGGTAGTAACGAATCATAAGTCGGTTGCTTAATTGACACACTCTAAACCAGAACCAATAACTGTACAAAGCTAAAGTAAATGAGATGTTGATTAGTTCAATCAAGAATCGCTTTCATCCTCGAACTAACGAATGCTTACATTTTGACTACAAGGTGCATGACATAAGCTACTAGAAACCAATTAAAACTGAATATGACTATTTCAAATAACTGAGAAATGATATGTAAAAGATAAACGCACCTGAACCGGCCTGTCTCCTTGGTTAACAACTCTGAGGAGTATTGCTTTCCTTCCATGATTAAGCACAATACTACCACCTCCATAGATAATTTCACCCGGAATTTTACCATCTTCCATTTCAGGAAACTTGTCTAGTGAGGGAACTGCAGAAAAATCTTATTTCATAAGTGCCCATAATAGGTCCCAAAACAGTCATTTGAAACTTCCAATATCCGTTAGCCTTTACCAGGAAGAAAAGAATCCTTCAAAGCTAGTTCCAGATTTCCGTTCTCCCTCGAAATTGGATCGTGAATGGTGATTAACTTGGTCCCATCACGAAAAGTCCCTTCAACCTGCATTTAAAATCTTACTTATAAATTTGATTTTAGGCGGCATGCTATGTCAAGGGTATGAGACAATAAGTTGGAAATTTTGACAAATTTTCAGCAGCAAGCATTATGTTTACAGCTTTTCGAAGCAAATGCAAACAACCTTAATGAGCATAATACCTGCACCATATCCAAAAGATAGTGAACACCAGGAAGAACTTGTTTCCTGTTTGAAAAAGAAAGATGCAGATCAATCTTGAGCAACTAGACACGTGATTCCGAGGTACAAAATTAGGAATACAAATTGGTTGATTGCAATCCAGAATTAGCATCCCACATACAAAAACAGGGCAAATTGATAAGATTTCACAGTTTACGCCATTACCTTCCCAGCAGCTGTCTCCCAATGTCCATCAATTCCGCCACAGATTTATCCCCGTTTCGAACGAACTCCAAAATCTACAAACACACAAACACATTAAACAAAAACGTTTCCTTTACAAAACCCATTACCAAAATCCGATCAAAGTCCGTAAATTTGAACAAACGATCAAGTTTCGGAGCAAAATCTGAAAAATACAAGGCAAAAAACACACCTGTGTGGCTATGAGAGCTGCAGCTTCTGGGTGATTCAGCCTCAACCCTCGAGCAAGACGCTTCTGCGCCAAAAACCCAGCATTGTTTAGGCTTAGTTTCTCAGCTTCTCTCGGAACCACCTTCATTTTTTCCACTCCTTGCTCTGTAAGTCAATGCCTGCAACTTACAAGAAAAATGGTCTTACTTTATTTGATGCAATCTCTTATCTTTTGGAGGCGAAATTGAAGAACGTGGATGACTAGATGAGCATCCGAATTGAAGGAACTAAGTTTCTTACTTGTCAAGAGATACGAAGATTGGTGTCCCTTTGTAAGTCCGATGATACACAAGTACAACACGGCTGGGTCCCTGGGACATCAGCCAAGTGAAAGGCAATGACTGAAACGTTAAGGGGGTGTGACTTTCTCTCTCCTTTTTCTTGGGTGAATTAATATTTTGTTTCTGTTTTTATGCACGTCGAAAACACAAATCACATGATATACTACTGTGATTAAAAAGAATATATACTTATATGTTTCTTGCTAAAATATGTCGATAAAAAATACTCCCGTATAATAATTTGAGTAAATTAATAATATTACGTAATTTATGTTTAATTTTTGTACTGTTGTAATATTTCACATTGACTATATCTTTATGAAAAAAAGAGTTTAAATATTATAATCATACTCCAACTAACAAGATCTCACACCTGTCGGATTGTGCAGATGTTTGTTAATATGTTGGCAAGTTAAGGACAATATCGATATTGTTGAACTTAAACATTTAAATTGCCGACAATATAAGTATTGTTGAAAGTTGGCATTTGGCCGGTCAATTAGAGTTTTTTTGTTCATGCGTCTGTCACCATATAGTCCTTTATATAATATTGCATTGTGACAATCCAATTGCATCCAACGCAAACCCACAACAAAAATTTTGAACTTTCCTCATTAAACTATAACAAGATTTGCCAATGAGAACCAATTTTTATGATAAGTTCAGCCACCACATGTTTATTTTTTATGTGTTTTGTGTAACTAATAATTCAATTGGTGACGTAGACTTGCATTCAAAATTCAAAATTCAGCGATGCTATGTGTATTATAATAACTGTTGATGATTACATCTTTTTATGAATAAATTTTGATTCTTCGTTTGTTATAGGTAAACTTTTTGAGTAATATTATTCGTACCATATCTTTGTATTATATTTTCATACTATTTTAGGTGTCATTTGATGTGGATAGCCACATTATTTTAATCAGATTTTTAAATTTAATTCATTATTTAATAACTAATAATTAAGAAAAACTAATTAATTAAATTATGCTTGTGGTATATGAGAAGTCTTTCTCCTTCCTTTCTTTAGGTTTTGCAAATTTTTCAAATGATGTGGCTGTCCACATCAGATGTCACCTGAGATGGTATAGAAATGTGGTATAAAAATATAGTATGAATAATATTACGCAAATTTTTTACATAAAAGATGCGAAGATGTAAAATATGAAGAGTGACAAAGTTGGTCTTCAAATTGAGTTATGAGTGGCAAGTAAATAACTTCACCCAAACTATCAACGGTAACAGCAAATACGACACAAATGGCTAGATTTTTCGATAGTAACCAAAATCAATGGAGCAAGACCGCACATTACCAAAGGATTTGGAGCTTATTACCAAGGGATTTCTTTCTTATATGAATAAAACTTACATTCAATTCTGTAATACATTTGGCCTTTATAAAGTGCCGCTATTTATCGCTAACTTAATAATAAGTAGGGTTTAGGGTTTGATGCACAAAGCTGGTAAAAACGTGGATAATTTTCTAGTTGAAAACTTTGAGATGACCTTTGCCTTTTGATTGTGATTAGAGATAGACTGAAATGTCTTTAGCCTTTCCAGACCCCATTAGAACTAGTCTTACGCCTAAACCCTTCAGATTACGGGTTACCTCAGGCTTCGGCAAAAAAAAATATTAAAAAAAAGGTCCGCACGGGTTAATGATGTCTTTTTGGTTGGTGTGCGTTGGCGATAATAGGAAAATAATCAGAGGATAAGTGAGAATTCTAAGTGAGAGAAGCAATGTGGGAAGATTTTCTGTGGAAACAAGGTTATATATTTCTTTTGAAAGCTTCTCGTCTTTGATCCCAGACCATGTCCCTGGCGGCAAGGCCGGTAGAAGCACTGTTAGAACGTCATTGCAAGCTGGGTGCATCCGAATCGCACAAGAACGTCCTGAATTTGTTTTCGACCAAGCAGTGAGCATGTCCATCCTTTTCTCAGTTCCACCATTTCCCACCGTGACTGGCTTGTCGCCGCCATTAGCCTTCAAGCATTTCACGCATGTTTCCTGACAGAAGTACACCCCTAAGGAGGCAGAAATTTGTGCGCCTTGGCAGCAAACACTCGCAGCAATGTTGGCTTCATGACCAGAAATTAAGTTTTCGCAGCACGAATGTACACGTGCTGAAGATAATAATTCAGCCACGTGCTTAAAAAGGCCAGTGTCCTGGACTAGTCTCAGCACCTCCTCCTTGACAGCAACCGTAGCTTTTTCCTCTGGGCTTAAGCTTTGGCCACCATGCATTTCTTCCCGTCCCCGAACTTGTGCAACCCACCTGATCATGAACTGCTCAAAATAGGATGGGAGCGACACGAAAACAACAGAGAGAACTTCCTGAATATCTTTCACCTCCTCCGATTTTACAAGGAGTATCATCCATCAAGTATTTCGTGACGCCAACCCAACTCTCGTGTTTGCAGCTCAGGGTATAATAAAGTTGTCCTGGCTCCCTGTGAGGCCTAGATATAAGCATGAACCCTCTGCGTTGTCCGGTAGATGATCATCACCGGTAAAACATCTCATTAAATATTCACGAAACTTGTCAATTGTGCTATGATTTGTGCGAAGGGCTTCAACTTTTGCTCCAACACAGTGAGCCAAGCATACAAGCTTCCCAAATGAGATGCCTCTAACTTTGATTGTCTCCCAAGGTTCGCAGCAGTCTAACATAGATTCATCAAACCATCTCCAGGGTCCTTTCCATTTCCTTCCGGGATCGATAGCAAGGGCATTCTGAACCATGGACAGGCTCGCCAATCCACAGTAAGCAGGCTCCGACTGCGTCTGAGAATAAGAAATCAACCTACAGAAGTTCTCCATAGTTCCACTCTGAATGGCTTCAATAAACAGTTCCTTGCCCTCAGCGGAAGCAAACTCAATTGCAGGTGGAGAAGGAAGAGCTCGTTTGTAGAACCCATTAGACATGATATTCTCTGTGGAATATTGTTACGGTTTGCTGTGACAAAATCCTTGGAAATTGGGAGAAGAGAAACGAAGGAAGAAAACTTCAATGCATCAATATTATGTTATTGTTAGAAAGAACTCCACCTAAACCGTAAACCCTATTAGTAGGCGTAGGGATGCTGATGAGATGAAGACACTGGAGGTAGGCTAGCTGCTTGAAAGACTGAGCATGCAAAAAAGGTGGTTTGTACCATTTTTGGGAAAAAGACGTCGCCAGGCCACCTGCTACATTATTCCAGAGCCAACATGGCATTCTGGCCATTATAGACTCATACTATTCTTCTTCTTCACATAACTATCTTCTCTATCTTCTTGTTCCAAAACCCAAATCTCTCTCCCGCTCGTTCTCTCTCTCACTCAATTTCTTCTCCCAGATAGAAGTAAATGTCTGCAACAAGTTCACAGTCTGCACTCCGCACATGCCCATGAGATTATTCTGACAGCGTTGCGAAGGTAAAATTTCTTTGCCAACTGAAAAAAACAAGAAAAGTTTCATTTTCGTAGAGGCCATATATTGTTGCCTGAATGAAATGAATGGATGGATTTAATCATACCGGTTGAGTTGTCTATTCTTCTATTTATTGTTCTTGTTCTTGTTCCTTTTAGTTTTTCTCAAATCCATCATTTCCAAGTTGCTGATCAGATGGAGAAATGTTTAATTTGGTTTGCTATGCAGAGTGTATATTTATAAACAAGTGCATGAACTATATATATCGTCATCATCATCACAGGAGTTCGTAGAAATTTTGCTACTGTAATTTACCAATATGGTTCTTGTTCTTGATCAAGGTAGTATAATAAGAAGAACTAAACCCACAAAGATTGTCAAATTAAAGCACAATTTGGAACTTAATTAAATGTGAACAAGTTCTGGCCTTAACAATGATTTAACTTTCCACTTTAGCAAATACCACAATGAAAAGCATACAATTTTCACAGAAACAAAAATGTCAGCATACAGTTCGTGGTGCATCTATACTATTCATTTAGACAACCTCAACTATAAGAGATTTTTTAGTGTATCCGAAACATAAACCGCAACACCACATGTAATAATACAAGGTCTTTGGATTTATCGCTTACAAGAGGTGCATGCCATTTTCATTGTGTTTCACGTGTCATAATACATAGTTCTTGGATTTATTCCTTAATATGGATCATCTCCCCGAATAGCCTTTTCCCAGTACTTTGTCTTTGATGGTACAAGATGAGTATTCGAAAAAGCCTATCCGCTGTACCAGGGAAATGATCCATATCAAGGATCTTACTAGGGAGATGATCCATATTAAGGATCAGCTTGCAAAGGCCAAGATTGTTCCTCCAATGGAAGAAGATATCGTGTTTCGGAAAATTTTGATGCCATCACCAGAAAGCCGAAGTCCAAACTACAATTCAGTGTGAGCCGGATGTATATGAGAACCATCTTTACCAGATCAGCATCTGGGTGGACGGAGATGCTATTAAGTTCACAAACTGTTTCGAGGCTAATCGCCAAAGCTACTTGATTTGAGAGATTTAGAGAAGGAATGGTACTACTACTCTTTGAATTTTGAAATGCTTCGAGGAAATGCTTGCTTTCTTTTGAGAGATTTGTTCGTTGATTTTGAGAGGCTTTGAATGATTTGTTCGTAGAGAGGACTTTGATAGATTGAAAAATCTTTGATATTTAATTGAAATATATACAAAGTCAGTATGTCAATAAGCAGCCGGTATGCTCAAAACATACCACATTGGATTGGGATGTACTGGCCGGCATGCACATTGCTTGTCATACCAGAACAATCGGAAAAATAGAAATACAACATGTGTGTACACCGGACTCATGTCTTCCGGAGGTGGTTGATTGCAACTATGGTAGAGGATGATGAGGCTGACATTGATCTGATATTGACTTGGGAGTTTGGGAGCCTTAGTTTGGTTTCCGTAGTAGCCGGTTGCAGCTCAAACCAGATTTCTTTCGGTCAGTGTTAAAACTCAATACCCCCACTCTTTCATCAAACACAACTACTGAATAAGCTCATTTCTTTCCTTTACGAGCAAGAAATCGTTCCCTAGCCGCCTGTACTCTACTTTCACGATCATCGAGAACCGGCGCAACAACATCCTCTTTCTTTGGCAAATCGGAAAGATTTCCCTCCGGTT